TACACTACCTAGGTAGGTATTGACCTACACTACCTAGGTAGGTATTGCAGCAGCACGCCAATCTTGTTTGCCGTTTGTCATGTAATAAATAATACTTGTATTGACCAACCGAATTATTGCTTTATTGCTTGTCAACTATCGGGATAATCATGTACTCGCCTTCTTTTCTATGTGGATTTAATTGGCTTACTTTGAACTCCTATCGTACGCAGTACGGTGCAGTTCTGGCCTAGTAAAAGTGACAATAGCTGGTAAATTTGATTGCACATTGAATTCTTCATGTCATGTTTCTATGCCTATTGGTATATCTCCAGTTTCTCGCTAATTTTTTTTATGTTTTTTTATGTATTTATTCATTTGTTTATTCATTTATTGATTTTCTTCTTCTTTTTTTGGCCATACTCAGCCTTTGTTTTTCCCGGGTACTACAAGGGCAAGCTCCTTTTTAAATAGTTACTGGGAGATGCTGCACGACTTGACAACCAGCTGGCGGGTCCACTACGACTTACCGATCGACTTATCAACAGCGGATCATGGAATCATTTTCACACTTCGCCTACCCTACGAGCTTCTGCCAGATCAGAGTCCGCTTGGCTCCTTAGTTTAGCGGCATATTTTTGGCAGCTATCTCATGCGGACAATACTCAACGGTCTTCACTTGCAATACGTCAATGTTGGTTGCGACGTCCGAGTTTAATATTTCGCCATGGACTGTACTCAACCTTCAGGCGAATCTGCCCCCAAGTTGGAAGCAGACACCAACATCACAAAGCTAAAAGCACTGCTCAAGTCAAAAGATGACACACAGCGCTTCGTTGGTCTGGCTCTATTAAAGTCACTCCTCGACAATACCCCAGAAATTCGAAATGACGAGGCCACAGTACGCGACCTGTGGTCTCACATTTCGCCCAGATTCCTAGATCGCCTGCTGCGCACCGGCTCAAACCCGTCCAACAGCAACGCCAAACACATGCTCGACATTGGCGTATCCATACTCTACAATTTTTCTATTCTTCTTCCAGCGGCAGATACAGCTTCGGTTTCCTTTACAGCGCGCATACCGGGCCTGGTGGCAGCAGCGCTGTACAGCAGGGGAGAGACGACGGGGCTCTTGCTGCAGCTTCTGTACACGCTCGTCAACTCAAAAGATGGCGCCGAGACCTTTATGGAAGTTGAAGACACGACGCCACTCACGGAGATTGCCACGAGCCATGCCATGGTGCTAGACATTTTTGGTCGTGCGTGGGTGCACCACATGGCCGGCGGCGCAGCTGGCGCAGTCTCTTGTCAAAAAATAGACGCCGTCATACATACGTTGAGTGTCCTTTTCAAAGGAACAGATGCAGTTACATACCTGGCATTTCTGGGGAATTTTTTGAGTCAGGCTATTCCAGCGGTAAGTTCGCAATGCTTACTAGTATAGACGTCTCGTCTAACACGGAACAGGTTATCCCCAAGAACCCAAAATGGGTATCAATAACAGCTTCATATATACAGCGTCTTGTTATCAGTAGGCCTGCTCCGGAAGCGCGCGCTGCGTATACCAGTGCAGCAGCCGCGCTTCTACAAGCATATCCTGAGCAAGCGTCCGAGCTTTTATTCAGGGACACCACCAACATTGAAAAGCCATTCGGATACCTCTTCATTAACCTTCTTCTCATTGACATCCGATCATCCATACCCACTCTACTCGCCTCTCTCAACTCCCCCGGATACAAGCAGACCTCGAAGCGCTTGATCGCTGACTTTGACGTTCTCTGCATCTTCATCGGCTACCTCGTGCGGTCCCTCGAGGACGAGTCCCTCGAGACCCTCATCATGCCCCCCGACAGCCTGCTCCGCATCCGCAAGAGCATATCGGAAACCATGTCCGTGACCATTGAGTATATCCGCGACCGCTGGGACGCGGCACGCTCCGGCGCCATGGGCTTTGATTTCAGCGCTCGAGCCAGCAAGGCCGAGACGGCCACGGGCTCGCACCACACGCTCACATGGGACTCGATGGACGACGCTGTCGACGAGGACCTCTTTATGCTATCCGCGCTGCGTGCGCTGACGCTCTGGCTGCGCGAGGACGAGAATGAGCAGCTGAGGAGCGAGGGTACCGGCATCATGGACGTTCTCATGGAGCTCTACATCGGGGGCCCGTCGGAAAGGGATTTTCGACCCGTTATTCTCGTGGGTCTGGAAGGTCTCGTCACAATTCGTCAGGGCCGTGGCGCCTTTTTGCAGCAAAGTGGCTGGAGTATCCTCGCCGAGAGCTTGGTCAGCACAATCCATGGGCATTCCGAAGTCAAGGATGAAGGAGAGGCAAGGATCTGCGTCGACATTGTACGCATTCTGCTCGCCGTCGCTGAGGCTCAAAGGACGACGGAAGAAAGCTGGCTCGATCTCATCACCGGCGTAGCAGCATGGGACGTCCCCGATGGCAGCACCGCATGCCTCGCGCGGGACGCACACGTGGCCGTTTTGCAGCTCTGCTGCACCGTGCTCGTCCAGGCCAATATGGGCATGCGCAGCCGATACAGGCACTCCATCGGTGCCGTCGCGGGCATCGCGGCACAAGTTCACCGGCAGATTGGCCACTTGAGCGAGTACAGCGAGCAGATGGAGGACGTAGTGGCAACATTGGATAGATTACGATAAAGTACCAGAGCAACTAAAACAAAAAAAAAAACCATTGTATTCATGTCTGCCGTGACCCCATCATGACGAGGCGGAAACCGTCTGCGCCGTGCTCCCGACAACGTCTTGCTTCTGACCGCCGCCGCCGCTCGCCTTTGCGCGCCTCTTGCGCGCCCTGCGCACCTCAATCTCCACGTGCGCCATTTCCGCCTGCACGCTCGCCAGCCGCGGTATCACGTCCTGCACCGCCCTCCTCGCATGGCTCTGCGCGTCGCGCAGCGCCTGCGGCACCAGCACGCCAAACCACCGAATCGGGTCGTCCCTCGCAGCCGCCGCGTCTTTCCCAGCTCCCTCCTCTCCTCCACGTCCTTCTCTCGTCGACCCAACAACCGCATCATTATCCTCCTCCGTCACCGTAAATGTAGGCGGCGCCGACTTGTCCTCCACGGCAATGACGACCCGCCGCGACGCCTGCATGCGAGCGTCGTACTGGTCCGGCCCGTAGCGCGCCCCGCGGGGGGCGGAAAAGTTGGCGCGTGCCAGAGAGTGCAGCGTGTCTTGCTGGGCGGCGGCGAGAGAGGCGCGCAGCGTGGCGTGCTGGTCGAGGAGGCCGAGGTAACGCTCGAGGAGCTCGTCGATGGTACGGTCCGCCGCCTCGGACGCCATGGGGGGTGGGTGCGTAGAGGTTGTTGGTGGGCGGCTTCTTTCCTGTTTCTGTCTTTCTTTTTTGAACTGCCGACGAATAGTTCTTTACAAGAACAGGGAAAAACTGTGTCAATTTTCAAAGGCGTTCTTGTTTGGGCTGAATCTCAACAGAGCAATGTAGATGGCTGGTGTGTTGATGATACGTGGGAAGCTGGAAATCGTGGGGTGACGTTGAAGTTGGTGGAGCCGCAGGCAGCGACAGAATCGACAATCGCCAGAAGAATAACTACGAGAACAAGGCCTGTCCAATATTTTAACCTGCAAGCCAATGCGCGGACAATCTATTCTTGGTTTTAAAGCTAACAAATATATACATGGTATCTCGTTTACTAAATGCTCAATCGGCACTGCAGCACGCAGTTTACTGCGCCGCCGCCGTCGTCTCTCCTTGGGGCTTGTCCTTGACGTCGCTCAGCTGTCCACCTTCAGCGTTCGTCGTGGTCGAATCACCTGTTGCTTTCGAACTCTTTTGCTTTATACCCTGTCTGAAGCTGTACAGCGGCGCACCGCCTACCCAATTGAGCATGACTAGCGCCGCGAAGCCGTTGATAAGCGCCAGGCACCATCCCACAGTCCCGAACCCAGCGCTCTTGCGCACCATGCCCGACAGCAGCGGGCCGACAATGGCGCCCGCCGCAAACGAGATATTGTAGAGCGCGTAGGCCTGCGCGTACGGCACGGTGGCCGCCTCTTCCCCGGCGTCGTCGCGCCCTTCCTCGGCGGCCCACGAGATTTCCGCCATGAGGGGCGCTACCTGAAGCGCCTCGCCGAGGCCGATGGCGACCAGCAGCCCGCAAAGCATGACTTTGTGGTTGATGGTGTTTTCCGTCACGAAGCGAAAGCACACGAAAAAGGGAACAGAGAACAGGAAACCGCCGGCCGTGAACCAGCGAGGGCCGTACTTGTCACTGAGGCCGCCGAACAGAGGGCCGAGAAAGGTAGGGAGCACGATGGGAAGGAAGATGAGGCCGCCACCGATGGCATTCCAGTGGAAAACGTCATGGACCTGAAGCGGCATGATGGCGTCAAAGGATGTCTGTGTAGCGGATTGAATGATGACGCCAAAGAGGGCACAGAGCATGCGTCGTTTCTTCAACAGTCCCAACATTCCATTTTGTCCTCCAATCGAGAATGCGCCTTTCGATCGTCTCCTTGTATTCCCGCCGGCACCCTCTTCAACGCCGCTAGGCTCTATGCTGGTTTGTCTGGTGGGAGATGTTGGATCTGTGGCTGACGCATCTTGTTCTGCGCTTGATTCGCCTGCTGTCATCTCAGCGGCAGTCTCCGGGGTGGTCATGGACACCGACTCTTCGGAAATCCACTTCCTAGCATCTTTGACCTCTATAATCATCAAGCGCAAGACAATGTCAATGCCAATTAGGCCGAAGCAAATACCAAAGACGGCGTAGTTGCCGGCTCTATCATAGACGATGCCTCCTACCAGCGGACCGAGTAAGATGCCAAGTGTCAGTGCTGTGCTCGTCCACCCCGCAGCACGACCAACGTGGTTTTTATCGACGCTGTCAATGAGAAGCGCAAGGCCGACACTCCACGTCATGGCCGCCGATAGACCTTGTAGGATACGGGCTATTAGTAGCATGGCAATGTTGCTGCTGAAGCAGAGAAGTAGCGTGGCGGCGAGAAGCCACAGAAGACCAACGAGCATTGGAACGCGGCGATTTTGGTATTTATCGGCCATCCATCCCCAGAATGCTGGAATGATATTAGCGGCTACGTAGTGGTGAGGCATGAAGAGGGGTGTAGCGCACGAGATGAGGTGAACAAGGACACGGCAAACACGGCGAGAGAAACCGATACCCAATATTGAACTAAATATGATGGTTAAAAATGATCATGTGTGCATTCGTTTTCAATCATACCTTTGTTAGAAGCGACGCCAATGCGAGACTCGAGCGTGAATGGAATCACGGGGACAACGACGGCATAGAGGAAGACATCCTGATTTACGCTGGTATCGAGAGGGATCGAGTTTCTTGAGATGATTGCTTACGGTGAATACAGCAAAGCTGACGGTGACTGTGATGATTATCGAGGAGGAGCGAAAGGCCAGCCATGCAGGCGGCTTGTCGCTACCTGACCATGGCCAATGAATCATGTCGAAGAGTGTTTCAAAGAGCGCCGTGCCAGACCAAACTAAATTGCTGGAGCGGGCCAGAATAAATAGCGGGAAGGGCCGAGAGCCTCGTCAGCTCATTGCGGGCCTGACGAATTTCACGGTTTCTGCAATGATGCTCGAAGCAGATGTTGCAGATGTTGTTTGAAAAAGGGCAAGTCTTAGCATCTGGTGGGAACCGCCGCAGGGCTGAAGCTTCTCTGGGGCATTGGCCTTTATTAGGTACTTTTATCACTGGCTGTTCTCGCCCATCTTATCCCAAGGGGTGCAGCGCCGACTAGGTTGGGTAGGACCCGCGGAGACCGAGTACCAGTAAGCGGCGGATGCGCGCAGCTGCGAAGCTAATGCGGTGCATAATTGCATCGGGTGTTTGCTCGCGAGTTGAGGTGAGACAAAATGCGAGATGCAAATTTTCGCCTTGCCAAGATGACTCTTTCGCCGGTAGATGACGCTGGTGGAAGCACCAACAAACTCTGGTTGCTTCGATGTGGGTGTCAACTCCGCCCGCTGTTGATCGAGACATGCTTGCCTGTATAACCCGAGCAAAACTGCCATTTTCTCTGATTTAACTCGCATCTACTCAACTCTTGATATTTCTGTCAAAATTATCTCCGTTTCGATATCATGTTGCAAAAGTGACAGGTTGAAGGCTTTTGACCGGTACCTACTCACTGTCTCAAGCCACCTCTACGCACAGGACTTTTAGTTATTACTTGTACCAGCACTGTGGACTACTTGGACAGGGTGATTCGTCATGACGGCAACCCTCGAGACGCAGAGACAGTATTTCCGATATGTCACGTTCCTCTACAGTGGCGTGTCCTTTTACTGCGTGGTTCCGGAGTTGTCTTGATGTTTAAACGGTTGGCCACCTAATGCGGTTAGGCGAGGATCGCATCAAGCTTCTGGAATTAAGCGGCCGGCATCACTGAGACAAGGCGTGCATTGTCGGGTAAGACGCAGTACTGATAGGGGCCCCATGTTCAATTGTTTATATGCTCTGACAGGCCCGGAGGTCCCGAATGAGCCAAGACGACGCGGCGGCAGAGCGATGTACGGATATAGATAGGCTGGTTGGTTGACTGTTCTTACGGTCGCGAAGAGTGTTCAGGGTGTCATCCGACTCATCCCCGGTGGAGTGGATGCGGCGATCTGCAGCTGGGCGTTTCGGGACCAGTGCTTCTTTCCGACGAGCTTCTATTGTGTGACTTGCAGAAAAACATGAGACAGCCGGAGTTGCAGCAGCTATCAAGGGGTATCTTCCCCTTGAAGGGGCTCGGCGGAAAGGCGAAGCGGCAGGATGGAAGCGACTGCCGCTAGAATATGCAGTTGGGCATCGTCACAGCGTCGACCGACACCTATACTATTTCTAAATGGAGGGTAGCACAACGTCCGCGGCGAAATACTTATATCTAGCTTCCTATTTATCGGTGCTTTGTCACGCCCCCATTGGCGTGACGTGAGGGAAGGTTTTTCTACCCGGCCGGTCGTGCAAGTCCCTTGTTCAAATGTTTCGAGTAACGGAGATGATGCACTGCAGCAGGTAGGCAGCTTTGCTTTGTGTTTCTTTTATTAGCAGCAAACACGTGTATGCAGGTTCCGTATGCAGTGGTTCGAATCGACCGAGGGAGGAGCTGTTCGGAAACAACTGATACTCATGTTATATGTTGCTGTTGCCCCCTGCGCATATGACGGGATGTATTGATTGCGTGCCGACAAGGAGGGTCCTTTTTCTTCGAGTGACGATCAAGCATGAGCAGCGTCGGAGATAGATTCAATGATAATAATAAAGTAAGGCAGCAGCGGAGATGACTGAGTTGAGCGTTATGCTCTCGAGTCGTCCCAGTCGTTCCAAGCCGAAGAGAGAAGCTGAGCCAGTTTCGTTTTACCCCCCATTTTTCTTTCTGCCGAGTGAATGCCTGGGTCACGATGGCCGACCGCCTACCGCGTCGGGATTGCAGTGCGCTGTTTACTCTCTAATTATTAACTTGGCCAGCAGAGCCCAGTAGAGTGGAGCAGGGCCAGGTCGAGAGCGCGCCGTCGACCGGGCCTTTTCAAGGCTTTCGACCAGTGATGTTGAAGTGACTGAGTGAGTGCAGAGTGATGACTGAACTGACTGAGTGATGAGTGGACAGACTTGCGCGGCAATGCGGGCAGGCAACAGGGGAGAGTTTCCAGTGGCTGAAGCTGCCCAGTGGAACGGAGCAGCCAAGACGCATGCTCCAGTGCAGTACGAGTACTGCGACGTGAATTCATAAGGTCTAGGTAAATAGTGAGCGGCGGGTGCCTGTGCCTGCAGGGCTGCCATCCCTACCTTACCTACCTAGGTACCTACATAAATACCTAACGCAAACAGAATCCAAAGCATGGTGTAATCCGTAAAGGGGGGCAGGATAAGAATCAACCAAGATAAAATAGTTAGTGCCCTTGTTCCAATGCAGTATCGGCAAATCTTTCGACGCCACACATCGTAGTTTTGCCATTGTTGCTGCACTCTTGTTGCTTGGTTTCCTTGTGATCATGTCAGGTCCAGCGCCAAAGCACAGACTGTCGAACAAGTTTAGATCGAGGCCATCTATAAAAAGTTAATGGCCAATGGGCTAGGTAGGTACCTTGGTAGTCAATTAGCGGCAGCACAATCCCATGTTATCCTGAGGGTTGGTGAACAATGTTGGTGCTCACAGGTACCGGTACATTGCGGCCTCGCGCAACCGCGACAAGGCAACCGCCGATCAAAGGTAGCCGGTACTTACTATGTAAGGCAACAAGCCCCCAAGCCAAGGTAACCAGTCTTTCTTTGGTGCTCGTCACTGGCCACAGGCGTCCCGTCTGCTATCACGACCGACCCTCTCGCCTCTCCCACCCACCTTTGCTTTGGGCCTTTACTCTGGGTCTTTCGGCGTCGACAGACTCTCCAACACCCACCCCCAGTCAACCTAATCACCAAATCTCTTTCCGAAAAGCACACTGTCTCGTCTTTTGGTCGTCTTTGCTACTCCCCTCTCCTTTCTTTTCTCCTTATTCACAGCGATCGTCTTTTCTTCATTTCCACCCTCCCGCCAAACACGCGTCGCTGGCCCTAACGCTTCTCCACGTAGCCTGTCTGTCGCTGTTGCTCTTGGTGCTATCGCTATCGCTGTCGCTGTCGCTGTCGCTGCCGCTCCAACTCCTCACCTCTCCCTCCCCCCCGACGCTTCGCGATACACACAGTCCTCCTTCCAAGGAGCCCCAGATCTGAACCATGGCCGTCGTCGCAACCATCAAGTATGCACCACCTCGCCACCAACATCTGCTTGCTCGTCTTCTATGCTCGTATGCTGGTCTTCGTCCGCCTCAGTCATGGTGCTGTATTCCTCGTCGCACCATGATGCCGCGGCCATTCTGCAACGCGACCCTGCCCCTCATGTGCGCTGAGGACATCACCAACGGCTCTCGCGACTGCGAGACGACGACTGGCATCCTGAAATTTTTCTCGCTATATCTCTACCTACACTTGGCTAATCTTTGCAATTGCTCTCAGATGCGTTGTTGTCGGAGACGGTGCCGTAGGCAAGACCTGTCTGCTCATTAGCTATACCACGAACAAGTTCCCTTCGGAATACGTCCCTACAGTTTTCGATAATTATGCCGTCACCGTCATGTACGTCTCTTCTTCTCAACATATTATCCTCGCTCTACGCTTCTCGCCGTGATACCGCGAGGGGACTTTTTTTTTCTCGATAGCTCCCAGCGAGCTTTGATCCCGGCACTTGGACACCCATGCTCACTCACCCTTGGCGGTGTACAAGCGGCAGGGTTCCGAGAACATGGCTGGAGTCTTTTGCAGCCACGCTTTGATGACACCACACGCCAATCTCAGATAATGACGCTAACGGCTTGTTCTACTCTACTACAGGATTGGCGATGAGCCGTACACGCTTGGGCTGTTTGATACTGCTGGACAAGAAGATTACGATAGACTGCGACCGCTGTCATACCCCCAGACTGATGTCTTCCTCGTCTGCTTCAGCGTTACGTCACCCGCCTCGTTCGAAAACGTCCGCGAGAAGTGGTTTCCCGAGGTCCATCACCACTGCCCCGGAGTCCCTTGCCTCATTGTTGGCACCCAGGTCGATCTACGCGACGATCCCAGCGTACGGGAAAAGCTAGCCAAGCAGAAGATGTCGCCCGTGAGAAGGGAAGACGGCGAGCGCATGGCCAAGGACCTGGGCGCCGTTAAGTACGTCGAGTGCAGTGCGCTGACGCAGTACAAGCTGAAGGATGTGTTTGACGAGGTACGCACCCAAGTTTCCACACCACACAGGACACCGGCAACTAACGAAGAGGCCACAGGCCATCGTCGCGGCGCTGGAGCCCCCCGCACCAAAGAAAAAGTCTCACAAATGTCGCATTTTGTAATCAATCATACCCCCGCGAAAGTGGCTGGCCGACCGCTGGCGTCAAGAGGTGTGCCCGCTCGAATACCTGAATGAAGGCCCGTTCTAAGAAAGAGAGCGCCAACGATTGAGACTGGCAGAATGATACGATTGGGACGGCATGGAAATGAGGGCGTGCGGCAACGTGTGTGGCATGTTGGCCGGAGTGCGCTCAACAACTGACGAGGCTGCCCAACTGGACAGCCAATGCAGCAGCGTGTGGCGGACGGCACAACCACAGCGCAATGCCATTGCTTTTTTTTTCTTTTTCCTTTCGCCACAGATCTATATATGCTGCTTGTTGTTTTTGCTTTTCTTTTGATGGTTTTGACCAAGTGGGCTCGATGGATGGCAAACAGGCGAGCACATGCTTTTCGATAGGACAGTTGTTTTCCACTTTTTTTTATTCTTCTGGCGACCGGAGTGCAATCTTATCTGTTTTACACTGTTTTGCATCTAGGTTTTTTTGTAACAAGATGGTAGAAGAGAATTGTATTTTGCCAGACAAACACGTCAGAATCGCGGGTCAAAGTTGTTTTGTACAAGTCGAAGAGCAAGCCAGATTAGCAAGCTGAATTGGTGTCGTTTTTTGGACGAAACGTTTCATTCTCGACGATGTGGCGTAGATGGCTTGCGTACACCGCACACGGGCGGAGCATGTAAGTCATCTGCCTAAATGAATTTATTAAAACTGAATGTAAGGGAAGACCAGTAAAGAAAATGCGCGTGACCAGCTTGCCTCACGCTTTCTTAGCGAACTGTTTCTTTAGATTTCTGCTTTTTTTTTTTCAACCAGAATGCAGACATATGATTGTATGCAAAGCCTGAATCGAACAAAAGTGCGTGCAGACAAGCGAAGAACGAGCGCCAGCAGCTTCAGCAACGAGTCCCATATGCATCCTGTTTCACCTGGCATTTATACACATATGGATCTTGCCTAGTTCTGGTAAATATCATGCTGCTCCTGTAAATGTTCAAATGATGGTGAGCATCTTTCCGATTAAAGGGATCACGAACATGTTTTTACTGATCTCAACCTTTCAGCAGACCAGCCAAAACCAAACGGCTCACACTCTGCTGCCGAGGCCTGACATGACCTGCCGTAGTTATTTTTTTTTTTTTTTTTTGCCAGACAAATCGATAGTCGAAGAGAAGGAGTTCTTTCCTGGCCGCCGTCGGCAAACTTTGGCGAATTGCCGGCGGCCGGATCCGAGTTCGCTGGATCCGGCGGCTGGGGATAAGCCCAAGCCCAAACCAAGCTCAAGCCCACCCACCACCAGCCAAGACGAAATACCCGCCACACCCCGCACGCCGGCGACCGCGGAGAGCGACCTCCGATACGGAAGCTGGCACTGGCAAAGCTGGGGAAGGGAAGCGCGGAGAGTTTAAGTAGAGGATGGTCGCAAGTGTTTTTCCTTTCAGCTGATGTCTGAATTTTCTTTTTATCGGCCGATTATACCTTTTGACAGACAAAGAAGAGTGCCGATCACTTGATAACATCGGCAGCCCCGCCACTGGAAGCAGTTAGATAACGGTGCATTCGCAGAGTTGCAATCTTGGCCGTGCCGCTCAACTTTGAGACTGATTTGAAAAGGAAAAAGAAACGGCAGACACACTGTGTCGGCACTTTTCCCCTACAGTCTTTGCAATTACTGCAGCTCAAAGATCTTTGCTACCATGCGCGCTTCTGTGCTGGCCAGCTTGGTGCTCTGCACCAGCCTATCACTAGCCTGCGGCGGCCACGACGATGATAGGCAATGGACTAAGGAGGAGCTGGAGGAGCTCGAATACAAATGGGGATACGATGTAAGTCGGACACTGACCACACCGTGTAGCTGTATACTTGCGAGTGGAACAGGAATTGACTGGCACAGTGGACGTTTTCCGGCATCGGCACCTTTGCTCATCTCGACTACGTCAAGTGCCTGACCAACCCAGCTGAGCGTTACGACATTGCCATTGTCGGCGTTCCCTTTGACACGGCTGTCTCCTACCGACCAGGTGAGGACCTTTCTTCCTTGACTAGTTTGCCTAGTCTGATTGGTATTCATCCTGCTGACGTGATGGTACAGGCGCCCGATTCGGTCCTCGCTTTATCCGCGCCGCCTCGGGTCGCCAGATTGGCTATCGCAGCTACAACCCGCGCGCCAACATCAACCCGTATGATAATTGGGCTAAGATTGTCGACTGCGGCGACATCCCCATCACGCCCTACGACAATGTCATTGCGCGCGAGCAGATGACGCAGGGGCTCAAGGAGCTCGGCCGACACCGCACCGTGTCGTCGGTCAGCGACAAGCCCAAGCTCATGCTGCTCGGCGGCGACCACAGCCTGACCCTGCCGGCCCTGCGCGCACTGAATGAGATTTATGGCCGCCCTGTGCGAGTTCTTCACTTTGACGGTAAGTCTTCTCCACATGCCACGTCGTTTTGCGCCATCGAGAGGGACAATGCTAATACTGACACTTGTGCACGCACAGCTCACCTTGATACCTGGGATCCTTCCAAGTACCCTGCGCACTGGGGCTCGACGCACTTTACCCACGGCTCCATGTTCTGGATGGCCAACAAGGAGGGCCTGCTGTCCAACGCATCCTCGGAGCCGTCGGTGCACGCCGGTCTGCGGACGCGGCTGAGCGGTACCGACTTGGCCGACCTCGACGACGACACAAGCCAGAACTGGGTGCGCTTTTCGGCCGACGAGATTGACGAGATTGGCACCAAAGGCATCATCAACGGTATCATGAGCGCACTAGGCACCGAAGATCCGGTGTACCTCTCCATCGACATTGACGTGCTGGATCCTGCGTTCGCGCCCGGCACTGGCACCCCCGAGCCCGGCGGCTGGACGACGCGCGAGCTGATCCGGATCCTGCGCGGCATCGAGGACCTCAATTTGGTCGGTGCCGACGTCGTCGAGGTTTCCCCCGCGTACCAGGGCAGTGGCGAGGAGACGTCCCTGGCAGCGGCGCAGGTTGCGTACGAGATTTTGAGCTCCATGGTGAAGAAGGGCATGCAGAGCATGGCCAAGGAGGGCGAGGCGGCTGCCGCGGTGGAGGATGTCAAGGATGAGCTGTAGGGGCGAGGCAGGCGCTTGCAAAGAAATGTAGCATGAAATTGTAACAGTGTGAAAATGATGCATAGAATTGATGGAGCGAGCGAGGAGTTGGCGGTAGCAGAGAGAATTTGTCTTGGGTGCGATGACGTTGTTGGCCTGCAGTTAGCCGCTATAAAAAAAAAGCATTTCAAACACAGATTGATACAGTGAAAGTTCAGAAGCGTCCGTACCGATCTTTACGATGAATCAGACCGGCCACGGACAAGAAGAGTCACGGAGATTAAAACGACCTCGTCTCATAGGTGATACAGAGGATAGGTTCCTGCTGAGCTGGCCAGTACTCGTTCTTGTTTCAGTGTGATAAGGAAGGATGCAAGGGCGCGGTCGGAGCTTACACCGCCCGACCAAAGTTGCCTATTGAGTCACACCCCGCCGCGCCTAACCCTAGTATTTTGGCCAGCTGCCAATTTGCCCTTCACCCCTCAACCCCGCCATATTTACTCTGGAGTTTTGAAAGAAAGATCCAAAGAAAATTGTCTCCCGCAAAAGAGATACCCGAAATTGATCAACACGAATCAGACACATACACTCGAGACCTTGAAACCCGAATTACCACCGCCACCGCCATTGCCACCACCGCAATGGCCGCCGTTCAGGAACTCGCTGAGCGGGTCAAGGGCAGCGGCGACATCTGCTACGTCGACACTGATGTCGGCGTCGACGAGCCCACCGCCGATGGCACCGAGGCCAAGCCCTTCAAGACGCTTCCATTTGCCTACATTCAAAAGATTGACAACCCCGGCACGCAGTTCCTCTCGCGCGCCTCCGTCACGGGCGCCCTGGCCGATGGCGAAGACCCCGCAGCGCGCCTGACATGGAAGGAGCCCGCCAAGAGCGCCGTGAAAAAGGCCCAGAGCGTGTTCGACATCCACAAGAAGAAGCTCGTCAAGCAGCAAGCCGCACAGGCAGCCGAGGATGCCAAGAAGAAGGCGCGTCTCGACAACCTCGAGGCTGCCAAGAAGATTGTCCTGACCGAGGATGCCTCGCTGCCCAAGGCCGTCAAGATGGGCATCGCCAACAAGGACGTCAAGCTCGGCGACGGCGAGACAAAAGGCGAGCGTGTCAAGGTGTCGGGCCGCATTCACCGCCTGCGCGCCCAGAAGCAGGCCACCTTCATCACCCTGATTGACGGATACGGCCACCTACAGTGCGTGCTGCAGGCCGGCGACCTGACCAAGACGTACGACGCCCTTACGTTTGCCCAGGGTACCTCGCTGACGCTCTACGGCGAGATGCGCAAGGTTCCTGACGGCCAGCAAGCCCCCGACAACCGCGAGCTGCACGTCGACTACTACGAGGTCATTGGCACCTCGCCCGGCGACGAAGAGGCCATCACCAACAAGGTCTCCGTCTCCCAAAACCAGTGGGACCAGGGCATGCTTGACAACCGCCATCTGGTGCTCCGCGGCGACAACGCCGCCTCGCTGATGAAGCTGCGCTCGCAGGTCGAGTGGGCTTTCACCAAGACTTACAACGACATGAAGTTCGTCAAGGTCTCCCCTCCTGCGCTGGTGCAGACCCAGGTCGAGGGCGGCGCCACTCTTTTCAAGGTTCCCTACTACGACGAGGAGGCCTACCTCACCCAGTCTTCCCAGCTATATCTCGAGACGGTTCTCCCCAGTCTCGGCAACGTCTACTGCATCGAAAAGTCGTTTCGTGCTGAAAAATCGCTGACTAGACGCCATCTGTCCGAGTACAGCCACGTTGAGGCCGAGCTCGACTTTGTCACCTTTGATGAGCTTCTCGAGCATCTCGAGGAGCTCATGTGCCGCGTCATCGACAGCGTCCTCGCCGACCCCGAGACGGCTGCGTTCCTCAAGGAGCTCAACCCCACCTTTGCCCGTCCCGCGCGCCCGTTTATGCGCATGAAGTACAGCGACGCCATCGACTGGCTCAACGCCCAGGACCCTCCCATCCTCAACGAGGAGGACAAGCCGCACGTCTTTGGCGACGACATTGCCGAGGCGGCCGAGCGCAAGATGACGGATGCCATCAACCGCCCCATCTTCCTCACCCACTTTCCCGCCGAGATCAAGGCCTTTTACATGAAGAAGGACCCCCAGGACAGGCGCGTCACAGAAAGTGTCGACTGCCTGATGCCCGGCGTTGGCGAGATTGTTGGTGGCTCTATGAGGATGACGGACCTGGACGAGCTACTTCAGGCCTACAAGACCCAGGGCATCGACTCCAAGGACTACTACTGGTACACTGACCAGCGCAAGTACGTATTTGCAGAAGCCTTTCAAGAATCAGTGTAAAAAAAGATGGCATGACTAACAAGTTTAGGTACGGTACCTCCCCTCACGGTGGATACGGTCTTGGTTTGGAGCGTTTCCTCGCCTGGATGGCTAACCAGCACACTGTCCGCACAACATGCCTGTACCCTCGCTTCATGGGTCGCTGCAAGCCGTAGATGCATAAGTTTAGATGTGCTGTTGAGCTATGTTATAAATTGTTGGAGATGAAGTGGAATTATGGAGGACCAGAAAAGGCATACGAGGAGGATGTGACGACAGGAACCGACGGGTCTAGACAGATCGACACCCTAGAACTGCCATTCAAAGACTATTTATTCTGATAAACTATGCTGCGTTTTGGAGGTGGTGAAGCTAGTTAATATCAGTCTCGGGCTTAAATCATGAGCCTGGCCACATCCATCTTGAAAGCAGCAGAGAGATCCTGCTTGACCGCGGCAGAGCTGCTCATCTTGGTGTTTGCCGCAAAACCCTGCTTGCTGCCGCCGCCCAAAACAGTGATCTTGCTGATAACACTCTTGGTTACGTAGCCAAAAGTTCCGTTGCCCTGGAGCACGCCGTCTTTGTAGGCAAATTCAATGAGCGTCGTCTTGCCGTGCTGGTCCGCCGACTCGCCATCGTCCAGGTACAGGCTGCCGGCCGCCGCGCCGTCCTCGTCGAGCGCCACCAGGAGCTCAAAGTCCTGCTCGCGGACCTCGGCCGTCGTCATGCCCGACCGCGTGCGCAAAGGTGTAACGGTGCCGCCGCGTAGCAGCAGCGGCAGGTCGTCGAGCTGCTGATCCGGGCGGACGACGGTGCGGCCCTCGCCGACGACTTTTTCGTGCGTGTAAAAGTCGTAGAAGACGTCGCGCGGGAGATAGAAGCGAGCATCGGTGCTGTTCTCGTCAATGACGGGCGCGACGAGCAGCGACGGTCCGTAAAAGAATTGTGCGTCGAGGCCGTACGTGGCCGCGTCGTGCGGGTACAGGAAGAACATGGGCTGGAGGCAGGGCGCGCCGGCGACGGACTGCGCGTGCAGGGCCGTGTAAAAGTAGTCGAGCAGGCGGTAGCGAATGTCAATGGCCTTGCGGGCGGCGCGTGCAACCGACGGCCAGCGGTAAAACTCTTGCGGCGCCTGCCCGATGGCGTTGTGATTGCGGTAAAAAGGCTGGAAGGCGCCGAGCATGGCCCAGCGCGCGCAGAGCGCCTCGGTGGTGTTGCCGCCAAAGCCGCACACGTCGGAGCCGACGACGGGGACCTGGAAAAAGGCAGCAAAGGCGAGCATGCCGCGGATGCTCCAGAGGTAGTGGTCCCAGGTCGACACGTTGTCGCCGAGCCAGTGGCTGACGTGCCTGCCGGCGCCGGCAAAGGTCGAGCGCGTGATGACGAGCGGGCGGAGCGCCGGGCGGCGCGCCACCATGGCGGCGCGCGAAAACGACGACATCATGCTACCGTAGAGGTTGTGCGTGTCGTACAGCGTCAGGCCGTTGGCGTGGACAAGGTCCGGCCGGGCGGTCTTATTGGGCAGCCCGCCGTTATGGTTGTTGATGCGGTACGGCGGGAACAAGAGGTCGCGGCCGGGCAGGCCCTTGTGGCGGACCGCTGTTGCCGTCTCCTCGTTGTCGCTCACGACTTGCTGCTGCTGCTGCTGTGAAGGACCGAGCTCGCGGCGGCGGTGCGGGTTGTCGCAGGGAAACACGCAAAAGTTGGAGGGCTCGTTCATGTCGATCCAGAGGTAGTCAATGTCGACGCCTGTCTCGGGGGAGAAGAACTCTGCAAACTCATTGGTCCAGTACGAGGACGTGTTGGCGGCGAACCAGTCCGGATACGCGGCAGGACCCGGCCACACGACGCCGCGGTAGACATCGCCCTTGAACATCATAAAGGCATTGCTGTCGACGCCCCGGTGAAACGGCGCGTAGTCCTTGGCGGCCACGGCAGGGTCGACCATGACGACGTACTTTTGGCCATTGCCATGTAAGTCCTTGATAAAGCTGCGCACTTTATCGAGGGGGAAGTTTTTGGGGTCGAGAGAAAAGACCTGGACATTGATGTGAGTGAGGGCTTCTCCGAATAGATGTTTGGTGGTGAACAAGACTTACGGCACGGCCCTCCATGTAGTCGATATCAGTCCACATGGTCTCGAGAGGGATTTTGGCGGCACTATAGTTGGCTACGACCTCGGTCACCTCGTCAATATCAGCGTATCCCCATCGACAGTTGTGGAAGCCGAGGCCAGAGTAAGGCGTGAGGGCCGGAAGGCCGGCAACCTGTGCGTACTGCTTGCTGACGTCGATGGGTGACGGGCCGGCGAGGAAGTAAAAGTCAAAGACGCCACCAATTGTGTTGTACTCGAGATACTGACCGCCGGCATCGCGGTCGATCCTGATGTCCATGCCGTTGGAGTTGAGCAAAAAGACGCCGTGCGTGCCGCCGCCCTCGCGATGGTCAAAGTACACGGGATGACTGCCGTACAAGTTCTGATTCTGGCCGACGCCGGGATTGTCCAGGTTCCATAGGGTCCGGGTGTAGTCCGTCGTCGGGAGCCGCATGCTGTCCGTGTGCTCGCCGAGGCCGTATAGGTTCGGCGCGGCGGGCAGTCGTGTGCGGAGGCGCAGGTACTGCGACTCAAAGACGAGGGGCGCGGCGGCCGAGTCGAACAGCACCTCGCCCGTCGCGGTGCGCGAGACAGTAAAGGAAAATGGGTTGCTCTTGTAGTCGAACTTCAGGGCCGAGGATGTGCAGTCTACGCCGCCCGAGGGCGGCCGGGGGAAGACAGACTCGGGCACCTGGTAGACTTGCTCGTCGGCGTCGATGATTTGGACGTGAATGCGCTCGACTGCGAGGGAGTGTCAGACAAGAGGGCCTCGATACAAGTGTTCGTGTGCACGGCTTACCAGTGTCGTAGCTGACGACGAGCTTGAGATGCTCGAGGTCGTTGCCAAAGGCGTTGCAGGCTTTACCCGCGAGCTTCAAGTCGGCCGTGAGGCCATGGGCAGAGGTCTGGACGTTGGCAGCCTTGTAGCCCGGGCACTTGTCCGCGGCCGAGTTATCGGCAACGGCTGCGCTGGCCACCGCGGCCAAGGTCGCTTGCAGAATAACGAGGATGATGCCCTTCATTGTGGCTGGGTCAGAGGTCGGCAGGTGTCTATGAAGAAGACGTCGACAGCCCTCGGATGCAAGACTCTCTGTGTGAGTAGTTGACGAGTCCGATTGGGGCAATCTGCAGGACACGGCACAAAATCAAAACAAAGGCCATCACGAATGTTACCCGGTTCCAGTGCTACCTTCCTTGGTTGCTCGGTACCTTAGTACCCCTCATCTCATCCGATGGACCAGCGCCGGAGAAGGCAGGGAAGGCGGAGAGCTTTCCGATTGCCTAATATGAGTTTTGGCCGGGTAATCAATTCGGTCCTATTCGGATGCGCTACTGGAGGGACCAGAAAGGGGCCAGAAAGGGACCACGATGGCTCATTCCAGTGGCCTGTTTTTGGTGGTGATGGGTTCATCATTTTGCTGCAACTAGGCGGAGACGGCGCGGGGTCTAGGATTACTAAATATTTGCACTTTGCTGCCGAATACAGCTATTGAAGATGGAAGCGTAGGCTGTCTCTGAGAATGAGGAAAACTAGCTTTGCTTTTTTGGTTCTTCATATTTTTGTTGTTCTTCGTCTTCTTTCAATCTCCGTCGCTTGTTTCTGCTCTTTTTCCTCTTCTTGTTAAATGGTCTTTAATACTTGTCACTCTCATCATTATTTCGACCTATACAAAAAAACTATTCTCGGCATATATTCAATTCAACTCGATCAAGTCTACATACAACCGATTTTCGCATCTTTGAGCTCCTTATTCAACTGCAAGGGAGCGCTGATGTCGGTCCGGCAAAAGTACACTAATAGACGGCTAGGCGGATAGAATCACCGATGCGCGGGACCGATTTTCCCTTTGGTGTGGGGTTACAAGGTACGTCATATGTGTATGGATAGATGAGTATAGGCACCCGATATGAAGGCAATACGTATAATACATTCGAGCCAGTCATATGGCGACATGCGGCCTACTTGATCAGTCGGCGGCCTCAGCTTCGTGCACCATCAAAGGACCAAGAATCACGACAAATACCTTGCAAAGACCAAAAACCCGCACATTGAGAAACTTGCCGCCCGTTTCGAACGGCTGTGGTGAGTCATTCCTGTCCGCCCAAGTCAGGGGCGTTCTGCCAGGCACCCCGTGTGAGATGCAAGGTTCCTGCCTTGTGTTTATCAGTAACCGAGTCGTACGAGGGTGCCCTCCTCCTTGCAACACTTTTGACAACACCCAAGACATGCATATTGCCATGGTGCAGCGAAGAAGAAAAAAGAAATTGGCATGTGCCAGAGGATGTTTTCACCTCATTGGGCAATGGTGCAAACGGGGATTCATCGCACATAAAACAAGGACTGTAGCAGCTGAGCAAGCCCCAGGGTCAGCCAAGGCGCTCAGCACCAACCTTTTTCGAAGCCACAGCTGTTTGGAAGATCAATAGTCGGTTGCGTCGACCTCGGCAAATCGTCTCTCGTGGCTCCGATTTGTTCTTGATGCGTATGCGCAATGCATGTCCGACTTGGGGCTTTCGTCATCTGGCACCCAACTTGACGGACCCATGAACCCGGGCCTCTCATGTCAGACTACTGACGGCGACGAGCAATAGGTATTTGCGTGCATTTCAAAGTTGTCGGCAAAGTACTCCGTGTGTTACGCTTGTGCTTCTGCATGCAGGCCCGATAAGTCCCGCCGAGGCCTGACTATAGACTGGCGTTGCCTTCATCCCTACCGTGTGTTACGTGTGTCGAGGCTGCCTGATGCGCATACCTTTACAAGATCCAGAAGGCTGCGGCCGCCAAGGCTGAAACGCAAGACTGAATTCATAGGCTCAACTTTGTCTACGCAACGTCCTTGCCCAAGTTAAGCTACTAACTGCGCCCCAGCCGTGGGGGAGGGGTCGCTCGTCAGCCTCAGCCGCGTGACAACCTATTGATGATGAAAACACTATTTACACTTTCCTCTGTGGCTTGTAAAAAGGCAACCACACAAAACGGCCGTTTTGCTGCGAGGTACTTGCTTGTGAGCCCTCTTAACTGACTTTGCTGGCCCCGGTAGTTCCGGCCTGTAGCTGTCTGGTTTGCAACGGCCAATTCGCTACAATAACGCTATAGATGTCTTGGCGGAACTTAGGTGACCTGATCTGTCCGACGTCAAATATCGTTGACTCGAGTATCATGAGATGAGAACGATCTGTGCTGTTTATTCAGAGCCGCTCCACGTGCCCTATATACTCAAGTGTCTCACCCTGTCCCTTCTTCACTATGGTGGGTGTGAGCCATTCACGACAACGGACACCGAGCAACTACAGTCGGGCGGCATCAGAACGCACATTGACCCCTTCCTTTTGACTGTTTCGCAAAACACCCAAGCCTACAAGACCTCGGTGTTCTGGAAAAAGTAGAGGAAAAAGACCGCTGCGCATTTGTGGTGGCGCTGCACATACTAGCCGCCTTACGCCTTACAAGATGGTGTGTGAGCGTGGCACTGGCCGGCCACCACAAATGCTCACAGAAACCGAGAGGTATATCACTGCATCACCTCTGTTATCCTCGCACTTGTTCATTTCATCTCTTATTTTAAACCACAACCAGTTTCCATCATTGCATGATTTTCTGTCTCTTAATTCATTACCCATATCTTTCCATCTGTTCTTCTAGTATTCCCCTTCGGGGTCAAGTCACAACACAGCCTTGGCTATCCGTGATACATACCATTCACAGAATCATGCCTCATATTAGAACACAGTGCTCCACAGGATCTACATCACAGAGGCAACAATACCAACAGCCGCAATATAACCAACAAAACATGGCCAGCAACCAGCAGAGCCAGCGTCATGCACAGCACTATGCACATCAGCATATGCAGCAGGCTTCCCGGCACAGGGAAAACAGAGACAGAGGTGTGGATCCATCCATACCAACATCGGAATCCGATACCGACCAACCTTCGGTATACATGTCAGACGTACGAAAGATGGCGCCAGCCGACAAGGCGATGGAGTCGTTGACGACGTACCATGTTACCAAACTCGTCAAGAAGCCCCTTACCATGATTGAGCGCAGCCTTAATGTGGCAAAGCCATGGGAGAAGGCCGATATCGTCAGAAGAGACAGTCTCTCTCAGGATGAAATCTTGGAGCGCCTAGACGAGGCCAGCAGAAAGAATACCAAAGATATACGGGCTCGAATAGCCAAGTATCCAGAGGCGTTGCGGGTTCAGGTTGACAAAGCGACCAAGAATCGCGAAAAGAGTGAGAGGGACTGTCGCTTTGTTTGGGAGCTGGTTCAGACTGACGACGAGCTGGTGCCGCTCCCACCCAATACAGAGGCCTCGGACCACGAAAACCCGGATGTCAAATACAAGGGGTCATCGCGGAGACATGAAGCCAAGCGCAAAGAAATGACAAACTCTGCAGTGTGGAGCGATTCATCTTCAGCAACCGGCAAGAGACGTTCGGATAGGGTGGCCGTGACTCTTTATTTCAAGCGATCTCCAGCACCTGGACAGAACCCAGTGGCATTGTACAAGCAGCTGAGAAAGCGTGTTCATGAAGCACCTCCGAGACGTGACACCCCGCCAAAGACTGTCCCTGTTCCACAGAACGAGGCACCAGCATACGAGCCTGTCCCAGTCGCAGACGAATACACGCCCCCAGTGCATCACGGTACACGGCCTCCGCCACCTGTGCCTCACAACACAAGGCCCGCGCCAGTACCGCAACCAAATCCTCGCCCAGTTGGTGTATCATTTGGGAGCCAACAGCTACCAAAGGTGTCTGGCTCGCAACAGGATCCTCGACTCAAACAGGCGGCTCCGTCTGTCCCGCCTTACACAGATCCGAGAGCGCACCAACCTACGCAAGCTTATCAACCTACTTCAATACACAGTGACTGGACAGCACAAGCTGCGCAGTATGCCCAGGCTTCTCGGCCCATCCCTCCTCACACAGAGCCGAGAGCGCAACCTAGGCAAGCTTACCAGCCTGCTTCACTACACAGTGACTCGACAGCACAAGATACGCAGTATGCCCAGGCTTCTCAATCTGGTCCGCTTCATACAGAGCCGAGAGTGCAACCTACGCAGACTGCTCAGACCGCTCAGTATGATCCAGTTCACGGGGAGCCGAGCGGCGGTCCTACTCAGTCTGGTCAGCGTGCTCATCATCGCAGTGAGCCGAAGCCCAAAGCGCAGCATCCGCGGTCTTCTCAGCCTCCTCCCATGTACACAGATCCGAGAGCCCGGCCCGCAGAGGTTCCTCCGCCATCTCAGTCCCACGCGGCGAAAGTGCAACTCCCACAGGCCGCTCAACTCCATCACAATATGAAACCGAGGCATCGGTCGGAACAGATCTATGAGCAGACGCAGCAGTCTCGACAGCAAGCTGTGCCTCAGCGTACCCCAAATGTGCCGTCGCGCCCGGCTGTTCATACAGCCGAGCCAGCACATACCCAAAGTCGCGGTGCAAGCTTAAATGGGAATCCTGCAAGTATTCTCCATCTCTGGAACCAAGCTGCTGGGGAACGCCGAGCCCGCAGGCAGAGTCCTCGTCGCACTCACAAGGTGCCAGAATCCGGAGAGTCGACTGCATCTCACTATGATGATGAAGAGGAGATATTTAGCGACTCAGGCGCGTCGATGGAGTCTGCGTCGCAGTACACTTTTGTGACGGCCAGCCCAAAGCCGGTCCCTGCAAGACCCAGAAGTGACTCTACTGCTCGGGTGAGGCCGATGAATGGGACTTCTTCGGCGGGTACAACACGGACCGTGAGAGACCGTTGGGGGGGCAGCCCAGGTGATGCCCGGCTGCCAGATTCCAAACTCAACCCCAATGGACCAGGCCGTCCCCATGCTCGGGCGCCCCAAGCAGATACGAGGGCTTCGCGAGGTACTGAAAAAGCTGCGGAAATGCATTCAACGTATTCGGACATGGAAACGCTCGATCCGCAGTCCTGGGGCAACGTACACTCCAGAGGTGACGACTGGCGGTCCGCACAAGCGCAAGGAAGCCCTGAAATCGCGACTGATCATTGGGAAGACCTCATTTACTCCGACTCGGATGAAGCAGACGAGCCAAGGGGGGCAAGCCGGCAGTTTAGCTGGCAACGCGAGCCTCGAGATCGAAATGGTGGACGAGAGTCCGCTGGCAGTGGCGGGGGTGGGCGGCGGTCGATGCCCCGTGGACCCGCGCCACGTGGGAACCGATAAATAATGCCATGTACGGATGGATATACGATCGTGCTTTTCTCGTTTGAAATTTTGTTGTTTTCCTAGGCCACATGTTTGAGACTTGGAAGCAGAACTGAAGGGCCACCAGCACCCAGCGATTGGCCCTGAACTCACATTGCTGCGAATAACTGTCTACGAGTTTTTCGCTCTGGCAGATAATGAAATTGTCATGGACTTTTACCTTGGTATGCGTAGTAGTCTTCGTGATGTCGTCGCAAGGATGGTTCACTAGCCTCAGGGGCTAACCAAGACTTTTAGTAGATGAGCATCCACCGATAGGGCTCGACGGTGGGATGTGCCAAGCTTCAGCCAAGCCCGAGTTTGATTCATCCATGTCACCGAAGGCGGCAGCATATTTATCAAACTCATGAATCACGGATGGCACGAAGAATATGACTCGGGTACCAGCTTCTCATGAGAAGCCGCATAATCGAGAGTACCATGGATCATGCCCGCAGATCCCTACAATTGGGCAGCTGGTGGCTGTGAAACCACGCTGCAACGGCTGGCTTGGCATTACCATTGAGCCAGAAGTAGGCATTGCTCTTTTAAGAAAGACGATCTTCACGATCCTCAAAAGGGCCGAAAACTGAAGGAGCGCAAACACGTATACTCCAGTTTTAATTGGTTCGTCGGATTATGTCTCGGTGCACGCGTCATCAGTCTACGTGGAACATTCAGGTCGAGGCTGGTGCACGTGACGCAATGAGTCCGAGACAAGACCAAGAGCCATCTTTAGACTCATACTCGCGTACGGATTACACGGGACGCGGTGTATCTGTCCATTGATCTTACTCTCCAAATGTGCAATCATGGCACCTAAATCAACTTCGAGATTTATCATTTTCGCGGTGGTTTTCTCGTTGATATGGTGGACTTTCCTCTGGCCGTCGACCAACACGGCCGGTCTTCACGAGATTGCGGGCGTCGCGCTTCCGCCTCTCGACTTTTTAACAGCCACATCGGATCGAAAACAGAAGCACGCGCAACATTATGCGTCTCAGGAAGCGCGTCAGTTTTGTGCGGCGCATGGCTATACCACTTATACACCTAAATGTACATCCGGCGAGCGCAAAGTCTATGACCTAATGATGGTCAACACCGAGCTTGATTTTCTCGAAATTCGACTCCATGCGCTATACGACTACGTTGACTACTTCGTCATTGTCGAATCTCCAAAGTCATTTCAGGGCGACTCAAAGACGCTCGTGATTGCAGATAACTGGGATAGATTTCGCCGCTACCACGATAAAATGATATACCACGAATTAACGTTCCCAAAGTCGTTTAACCCTAAAAGGGCATGGGACTACGAGGATCTACAACGAGACGCAATGTTTAATCAAGCTATGAAGTCATTGACTGGGCCGAAAGCGCCCATAGAAGGCGACGTTATTGTTGTCTCCGACGTCGACGAGATTCCCCGACCCGAGTCGCTGCTCGTTCTTCGCACCTGCAATTTCCCGCGACGTCTTACGCTCTCCTCCAAGTTCTATTACTATTCGTTCCAGTTCTTGCATACGGGACCGGAATGGCAGCATCCGCAGGCGACATTCTACCAAGGATGGCGCACCATCAAGCCTACCAACCTGCGCAACGGCGACGGTGGTCTGCCCTGGTTCCGCAACCAGGAAAAGGGCGTCCTTAAAAATGCTGCGTGGCACTGCAGCAGCTGTTTTTCTACCATTGAGCAATTCCTCAACAAGATTGCCAGCTTCTCCCACGGCTGGATGAATGACGAAGAATACAGAGATAAGGATAGAATCGCCGACGCGATACGACACGGCAGGGATGTTTGGGACAGAGATCAGGATCAGTTCTACAAGGTTGAGAACAATAAAGACATGCCGCCGCTGGTGCTCCAAGAAACGGAGCGGTTCGGCTACCTGACGAATCGGGATGGGCCATCGGCAGGGTTCAAGGATTATCCTTGATCAAAGAAATGAAGAAATGAAATGAAATGAAAGATGATCTGAGGTCGGGTTCGATTTGGGACCATACTGACTGGGCTTTGAGAATATCATGCTAGATACGCTGTCGTGTTGGTGGAACGAATTCTTTTGTAACATAATTATGCTGCTGGCCGAGTTTGGATTTGCCGGCCAGCGATCAGTACATATAAAGCGGACTAGAGACTGCTCGAAATCTAGAATCACGTATTATACCAAGATACGAACGGCCCAATACTCGGAAAGAAAGTTTGAGGCTTCATATCGATTTATACGAAAGATGCTCCCGTGCTATGTAGAAACGCCACGCCGTTGATCTTGGCGATGGTGGGGCATATCAAAAAGTTGCGACGAGCCAAGGAAAATCTCTCCACAGTATGATAACTCTTTGCCGACTAGGCAGCTCAGAATTGTTTTAGGATTCCTGATTTCTGACCTAGTCACTCTGCGGTCGTCCCGTCGCGTATCTACCAACCATGCCTGTAGGTTGCCTTCGCAAGCCCACCATCGACCGCCTTCCTAGGTGCTAACCCGCGTGCCCAGTTGATCATCGTCACCGGCTTCCCCACGTCGGGCAAGTCCACGCGAGCGAAACAGCTCCACGACTACCTCTCAGAACGCATCGCCGACTCAAAGCACCGTCTACATCTCATCTCCGACGACAGCTTATCCATATCCCGCACCGTCTACGACCTCGCGGCCGTGCCCGCGCACACGCGCTCCGCCAACGCCTCGGAGAAGGATGCCCGCGCCAGCCTCTACGGCGCCGTCAAGCGCGTGCTGTCCGACAAGGACATTGTCATCCTCGACAGCCTCAACTACATCAAGGGCTGGCGCTACCAGCTGCACTGCGAGGCCAAGGCCATGCGCACGCCCAGCTGCGTCCTGCAGATTGGCTGCGCGCCCGACCGCGCCAGGGAGGTCAACCAAGCCCGTTTGGATCGACGCGCAGCAGTCGAGAGAGGCGAGGAGCAGCAGGCGTCAGAGGAGGGCCCGGAGCCGTACGAGCAGAGCAACTGGGACAATCTCGTGTTTCGCTACGAGGAGCCGAACCCCATGACGAGATGGGACAGCCCGCTCTTCACGCTCATCTGGGAGGACGACGAGGCGCAGGCGGCGCAGACATTTGCGTCGCTGTGGGATGCCATTGCCGGCGACGGGCGCAAAGTGGTCAAGCCCAATCAGTCGACGGAGCCGCGCGGGCGCGACGCCGGCGGCGATTACCTCTACGTCCTGGACCGCGAGACGCAATACATTGTCAAGCGTATTCTGGACCAGCAAGGGGACGAAGCGGGCGGCGAGGTCAAGATTCCTCTCAACGGCGACTCCACCACACAGGACAGTTTGGTAGTGGACCTGCCCACGCTGAAGAAGCTGAGCCTGCCCGGCCTGCAACGGCATCGAAGAGCATTCATGGGCTTGAACAGAGGCGGCATTGGCTTGGAAGCGGTTGGCAACATGGCAGTGGATCAAATTCGAGCGCTCTTTGTGCGCTACCTCAACGATGCATTCGAAAAAGAGGAGTGAGCGGCAGATGCGGATTTTCGAATCACAAAGATTGAACAACGCAAGATACCAGCCGCGCAAGTAATGAACAACCGCATAGGAAGCCATTGATACTTGAAATAATGTGTCATTATGATCGTGGTGACCTCATCCCATGCGAAATACTATATAAACCTCGACATTTCTTCCCCATCAATTCGGTATGCGAGACAGATATCAACGCCGTTCCCTGATTATGACGATACTAGCTGGCCACCTGCCATATTACGAACCCGATTGCCCCGGTGGTTTCACTTCGGTCGTGGCGCTTTCTGTGAGCTCGCGAAGATCAGTTCGGATCCCACATTGGCGCGAATACAGTTTCATCTCCTGGCCAGTCTTCGACTTTAACAGCCGGCTGAACTTGCGCTGTGATGGTCTTCTTTCCGCAATTTCAGTAGTCTCCTTGCCTGTACAACTGTCAAGGCTTATTCCACCTTGATTGGGCCGATAGGGGCAGTTTCAACTTGTGAGAAAGGTAGAGTGAGACTAGGAGGATCAGGTGATGTGCGGCTGACAGGAGATCGGCCACGGAGCGGATCAGCCGAATTACCAGAGCTAACTATCGGAGACACTATAGGCTCGAGAACCTCGAGAACGTCTACAGCGTCAGGGCGCACGACGTGAGCGCGCGTATTGGCAGCCTCCTCGTCAAAGACGAAGCGATCCATTTCTTTTTCGTTAAAGTCTTGTCCAGGATTGGCCGTTTCATACTCGAGGATGTTGATGAGATGATAGAAGCCGGCCGCAAGAGCACTGCCAAGACCAGGTCCGACCCAGTAGATCCAGTGGTAGCTCGGGAAGCTGTGCAGGACGATGCAGGGGCCAACAGTGCGCGCGGGGTTGAGGGAGCCGCCAGTGAAGTATACACCCGTCATTTCAGCAATGAAGAGCGACAGGCCTATACCAATAGGGGCGAGAAAGGTGCCCTTGTGCTTCTCGGCGGCGAGCATGATGATGGTGAAGACGAGCTCGGCAGTTAGGAAAGCCTCAATCCAAACGCCCTGCGCGACGCTCGTCCCGCCACCGAGAGCCGTCGCAATCCGCATTTCGCCAGGGAACAGCACTTGGACAAAAGCAGCAGCAGCAGTCGCACCAAGTATTTGAGCGACAAAGATGAGGAAAGCACGCACAGGTCCCATAGCGCCGATGAGTACTAGACCAAAAGTGACGGCGGGATTGAAGAGACCTAAGAAGAGAGACATGAGTATGTGTACTTGGTCAGGAGCAGATGTCGAGTTCATGATACGTACCTCCGCTAATGCGGAAGAAAACCCAGGCATTGACAGCGAGACTAAAGCCAAAGGCCAATGCAATGAATAGCAGTGTTGCGGTATCGGGGCTGTCAGCAATGGCGTGCTGTTCGTCGGCCTCTTGGCCCTGCTGCTGCGCAGCGCGGTTGCCTTTGAGGGAGGCGTTGGCGACCTGGGTGGCGGAGAAGGCGAAGAAGAGGAAGAGCAATGTGCCGACGAACTCGCCAATGGCGGCGACAAAGTGGTTTCGAATCTTGTTGGGGATCGCCGACACCAGTTGGCGCGGGTACACGGGCTGGATGATGTGCTTCATGTTTAGGGTCGTTTCCTCAGAGATTCGAAAAGGAAATTGTTTGACTTGCGAAGATCAGACGACTAGTGATGTAGCCGAAAATTGTAAGATGGGATGAAAAGGAGGAAGGAGGATAGATATCCAGAAGGATAAGTATCCAAGAGGATAAGTACCCATGAGGGTAAGTATCCAGAAGGATAATACCGAAGCGAATATACCCAGGACTTTAAGTGCCCAGAAAGAAAAGATCCAGCAGAATCAGGATCTAGGAAGGAAAGATTCCTTGGTAAATGATGGATACTACTCGAAATCGCAAACAGTTTCAAACGTTGAAGACCAAGGTGGCACGAGTCAGGTGCAATCCAGTGGCGAAATGTGAGCAAAATGAGTGAAGCTCATCTCATCTCAAATACCAGCCACATGAGAAATAGACTATAATGCAAATGAATGCAGACCGCCCAGCCACGAACCGTCCGGCGCACCGTTACGCCCTTAGCGCTGCTTCCCTTGACACCCTTGGGGCAAGATTCTCTGCCTTCTGGCCGATCCCGAGGCTTTGCTCCCGCGATTCAAGCAGAGGAGACCAATAGCTGTACGATTTCCCTGTTTTTCGATGATGGACTCTGGCCAGAGTGGACTAGATGCATGAGACGGATGACGATGTCTTGCCTTGCGAGGTTAACGCGGTCCACTAGACACGTTTTTTTATGACGTTGAGGGAATATTTGATTTGTTCTCTTGGAAAAGTCATCAATGCTTGGTTAAAGTACGATGCGGGCGTCTGAACATGTGCATCGGGCCCATCCTCTCTCCAGTTGGGGATTTAAGCAGCGTTCGCGTGGCGTCGGCACCGTCTGGGGCGGAGGACTAAGGTTGTCGGCACGGCATCCGGTGCAGATCGTACTAACGCAAGCATGGGCTCATGGCATCTGCAGCCTGCTAATCTGTATATTACAGTGCTGTGCTAGGATACATACGACGCCTTGAGAAAACGGAACGAGCAAAGAGCAAGGGAGAAAGAATCGAAGTGGCTTGTCCTGGCAGGGATAAAACCATTAAAACCCCTGTTGAATTGGCCAGGGGGCCTGCGCCATCAAACTCGTTATGCGTAAATCCCCTTTCTGGATTCTGGCTCCGTCAGAGCCTCCACCAAAATTTCCAGAACGCCGTAACAGACGGAGCACGCGGAGCTAGCCACGAGGGGCTCCAGTTGTGACGTTGAAGGCACCTTGCCTTTTTGACCGCAATTTCCACACGTGCGGAAGACCGTAACTCGTCGGAGAGCAACTATTAATAAAGGCAAAAACCAGTATCTGCACTTTTCATCAACTAAAATTTCATGCAAGACCCAGCCAATTTGTATAATCATTTTCGCTTTCAGACTGGTGACGCATATTCCTGCTAGACAGCACTTTGCGATTCTACAAACACACATATTCACTCATCTTCTATTCAAGCACGCCTCATGATTCTAGGGCGGGCACCAGTCTCTGATATTTCAGAGGGTCTTCTTCATCTCTCTCAAGCTGTCAAGGGCTTGGACAAGATCAGTATGGCTTGCCTCGATGCTGATCAAATTTACTGTATGCTTCCTGCGTCTTTCACGTTTACGGATGGAGCACCAATATGTAGGTTTGAGGTTGTGAAAGCGCAACGCTTTCTCAATCTTATGACTGCTAGAGCACATTTATACACGGCGGAATCAGCGTTATCGAAGCAGTCCTCTGAGCCCGAAATGTTTGTTGGTCATGTCTCAGTCACCCAAAGGGGTAGTGTTGCGGAGTGAGAGTGAGTGAATGGCGGAAGGCCGAGTTATTCGTCGTGGATTGCGAGACATATTCTTTGTTGGGTTGGGCGCTAAACTCGTTCGAACGGAAATTGTTCGCCCAGAATATCATGGAACAAGGTAGTAGGAATTGCCCAGTGCAACGTCTATCTTGAACGTCGCCTAAACGAGGAATTCGGCATCTACGATGAGCAGGCTGGCAGGACATGTGAAGACGAGGATGAACAAAGGTCAATTACACAGCCTGACTAAATAAGCATGTTGAAAACGATTGGTCAGTGGCGGACCTGCCATTGTCCGCTGATGAAGCACGGCCTGCTTTCTTGCTCATGGTGAGGCCGGTGAAGCTTCGAGCTGGCAACTGGCCATTGCTAAAGCAGCGTGATGACAAAGCACGGTGAAGTCCTGGAGTTGTCATTGCGTGGCCGAGAGCTGCCTGGCCTTACTTGGTGTGGAATGTGGCAGAACGTTCCACTTGGCGGCCAGCACACTCACAGCGCAGTTTGCACCACCTTCGCCCCTAAAATTGAAGAACGTATCCGTTGCCACAGCGCATGGCCGCCTAAAAGAGCGGGCACTCTGGGCTTCTGGAGCATCAATCTTCCGCTCCGCTTCAGGGTCTCGCCGCTTCTGATTGGCCCATCTCGCCAACCGCCTGCGAAACCGTGGTTCGGCAAGTACCTTGTACCGCTCCGCTGCGCACGCAGTCCACTCCGCAAAGCAACCACTGTGGCATTACCTCACCTTCGAAACCGGCTCCTCTTCTTACCTCTTCGGCACGATTCGCCTCTTGAACCTCTCTCCTCCTTACAACTCGTCCAAGACACGTCATTTCTGTCTTTCACAAATTCTTCATCTCCTCGTTTGTCTTGGTTCTGTCCTTCTTTCTCGTCGCATCGTTTGCGAGAAGGTTACCGATCAATAGACACTCGTCAGTCCTGCGTTTGTTGCTCGCCGAGCTTATTCGCTTCCTCCACCCTCAACCGATTTACACCCTTCGCATCTTTGCCACGCGCACAAACTCGACACAATGGCTCCCCAACCGGAGGAGCACAAGAAGAAGGTCAACTTGACGTGAGTTTTGTCTCTTTAAGTCCCCGTTGATTGCTGCCGGCAGAGCTCGCCCGCAACTTCGCAGCCCAAAACCAGCCAGCTAACAAATGCCACAGCGACGTCTCTGGCGCCGAAATCAAGAACGTAAGCAGCATCGATGGACGCATCGCCACGATGGAAAGCCGAGCACAACTAATCATCTATCCAGGAAGACGATGTCGCGACTGCCATTCTCAAGAAGAAGAAGAAGCCCAACCAGCTCATGTGCGTTACTCCCCACCACTCCAATCCCACTGTCCGCACCTAGCTAACTTAGTATCGCTAGGGTAACCGATGCCGTCAATGACGACAACAGTATCATTGCCCTTTCCGAAAATACCATGGAGGAGCTCCAGCTCTTCCGTGGTGACACAGTTCTCGTCCGCGGCAAGAAGAGAAAGGACACAGTCCTGATCGTTCTCGCTGATGAGGAGCTCGATGACGGCAGTGCCCGTATCAACCGTGTGGTTCGCCACAACCTTCGCGTCAAACATGGCGATATGATCACCATACAGCCCTGCCCCGACATCAAATATGTATGTTCTCCGATGCATGCCGACCGTCAAAGGCGAAACTAACAATTACAAGGCTAAGCGAATTGCTGTTCTGCCCATCGCCGACACTGTCGAAGGCATTACTGGCTCACTCTTCGACGTATTTCTCGCCCCCTACTTCCGCGAAGCTTACCGCCCTGTCCGTCAAGGCGATCTCTTCATTGTTCGTGGTGGTATGCGACAAGTTGAGTTCAAGGTTGTCGAGGTCGACCCTCCCGAGTACGGCATTGTCGCACAAGACACAGTCATTCACTGCGAGGGTGACCCGATCGAGCGCGATGAGGAGGAGAACAACCTCAATGAGGTTGGTTACGATGACATTGGCGGCTGCCGCAAGCAAATGGCCCAGATCCGCGAAATGGTCGAGCTGCCCTTGCGCCACCCCCAGCTTTTCAAATCTATCGGTATCAAGCCTCCCCGTGGTGTTCTGCTCTACGGTCCTCCCGGTACCGGTAAGACGTTGATGGCTCGCGCCGTCGCCAACGAAACTGGTGCTTTCTTCTTCCTCATCAACGGTCCCGAAATCATGTCCAAGATGGCTGGTGAATCCGAGTCCAACTTGCGCAAGGCTTTCGAGGAGGCCGAGAAGAACTCGCCCGCCATCATCTTTATCGATGAAATCGACTCCATTGCCCCCAAGCGTGACAAGACAAACGGTGAGGTCGAGCGTCGTGTCGTTTCTCAGCTCCTCACCCTTATGGATGGCATGAAGGCTCGCTCCAACGTAGTCGTCATGGCCGCCACAAACCGTCCCAACTCTATTGATCCTGCCCTTCGTCGCTTCGGCCGTTTTGATCGTGAGGTCGATATTGGCGTCCCCGACCCTACCGGCCGTCTTGAGATTCTGCAGATCCACACCAAGAACATGAAGCTTGGTGACGACGTCGACCTGGAGCAAATTGCCTCCGAGACCCATGGTTATGTCGGTTCCGATGTAGCTGCCCTCTGCTCGGAGGCTGCCATGCAGCAGATTCGTGAGAAGATGGACCTCATCGATCTCGACGAGGACACCATCGATGCTGAGGTCCTTGACTCCCTTGGTGTCACCATGGAAAACTTCCGATTCGCTCTGGGTGTCTCTAACCCCTCTGCCCTTCGCGAGGTTGCTGTTGTCGAAGTTCCCAACGTCCGCTGGGAGGATATCGGTGGTCTCGAGGCCGTCAAGCAGGATTTGCGCGAGCAGGTCCAGTACCCTGTCGACCACCCCGAAAAGTTCCTCAAGTTTGGTCTCTCGCCATCTCGAGGTGTTTTGTTCTACGGTCCCCCTGGTACCGGTAAGACAATGTTGGCCAAGGCTGTCGCCAACGAGTGCGCTGCCAACTTCATTTCTGTCAAGGGACCTGAGCTTCTCAGCATGTGGTTTGGTGAATCGGAAAGTAACATCCGTGATATTTTCGACAAGGCCCGTGCCGCTGCTCCTTGCATCGTCTTCCTCGACGAGTTGGACTCGATTGCCAAGGCTCGTGGTGGCTCTGTCGGCGATGCTGGTGGTGCTTCGGATCGTGTTGTCAACCAGCTCCTTACTGAAATGGATGGTATGACTTCAAAGAAGAACGTCTTCGTCATTGGCGCCACCAATAGACCAGAGCAGCTCGACCCCGCACTTTGCCGTCCCGGTCGTCTCGACTCTCTCATTTATGTTCCTCTCCCCGATGAGCTCGGCCGTCTGAGCATTCTTCAGGCTCAGCTCCGTAAGTCTCCCGTCGCTCCTGACGTGGACCTTGGCTTCATCTCTGCCAAGACGCACGGCTTTTCTGGTGCCGATATCAGCTTCATTGCCCAGCGCGCCGCCAAGATTGCCATCAAGGAGTCAATTGACGCCGACATTGCGCGCACCAAGGAGCGCGAGGCTGCTGGCGACATGGAAGTGGATGAGGAGGAGGAAGTCGAGGACCCTGTGCCCGTTCTGACCAAAGCCCATTTCGAGGAGGCTATGCAGATGGCCCGCAGATCCGTCAGCGATGTTGAGATTCGCCGCTATGAGGCTTTTGCTCAGCAGATGAAGAATGCCGGCCCCGGTGCCTTTTTCAAGTTCCCCGAGGGTGAGCAAGGTCAGGGTGCCGGTGGCGACTCGTTCGGCGACGCCGGCAACGATGATGGCCTGTATGACTAAAGTGCCAAGGGCGAGGAGCTTTACCTGATTGTATTCTACGCAAGAAGCGGTGATCAAGATGACTTGAGCAAAGAGTGGTTGGCATGCTTTTTTAGTGGTTTTTCATTTGGCTGGAGGTTCAAGAAGTATTAGAAGCCAATGTAGGGGACTAAAATCCTTGCAATTATTCAGAGTCTTGGTTGTGTTTGTCGCTCAGAGGATCTGGTGCGATGGACGCAATAAAGTACGACTCTTGGCAGATTTATTCGGCTTTCATAGATGACGCAATTGATTTCTTATGACATGAACTGGAGAAGTTTTATGTTATTTTTGTGATGTATTGATTACTATATGGTTTTGTTCCGCTTGTGAGTAATGATGACTGAGTGGTTATGTATACAAGTAAGTCCAACTAGACACTTGCAGGGTTCATGCGACCGAACAATTCTGTGCATTCCATACGCGGCCTTTGCTGACTGGTTCTGGTTCAAGGCCGTTCTTTCCAGCGCCCGGTTCAGAATAGACCTCTGTGTGGCGCTCTGATTCTCGCCTTTTGCGTTGCTTTCCTCCTCCTCCTCCTCCTCCTCCTCCTCCTCCTCCTCCTCCTTCTTCTTCTTCTTTCTTCTCTTCTTCTATCCGATTCGCCTCGTTTTTGGCTCGTGTTTCGTCAATCGTCCTAAACTAGTCTTCATCTAGTCTTCAATCTCGCACACGCTCTCCAGGCACTCCTTTGTGACGCGAATCGTGTCCTCGACAACAGCCTGGGGCACCGCCAGCGCCAGCTTGACGTCGTTGTTCGTTGTCGTACTGCCGTTGGTCGTCGGCGCTGCTTTCCCATTGGTACCGGCGGCGGCTGTGTTGTTAGTGGCCGCCGCCGCCTTGGCGGTGGCTTCTTGCACGTCGTCGAGGACGCGGCGCAGTAGAGCGGGAAAGGTCAGGACCTCGCCGGAGCGCAGCAGCTGCAGGGCGTGGCTCTGTATAACGGTAGGCCAGTTGGATGAGTCGGCGTTGAGGGCGTGGAGTAGTCGTTCTTGTATTCTGGAAGGAAGAAGAGAGAGAGTTAGTTAGTGGCCGGGGGAAAGGGAAGGGGGGGGGGGGGGGGGGCATGTGGGCTTCCGGTGTAGCGAACGGGAAGATGGGGGCGGGGAGCACGAACTTGGGGACGTGGCCGTCGCGGAGGAGAATGGTGTTTATTTGGGAGCGTAGATCGGGATCCAGCGTGGCGGGTGTGTAGTCGGCGGCTGATGAGGGAACCTTGACTGGCGTAGAAGCCCTTTGCGACATGTCTGCCCCGTGTTATGTGTGTGGATTTTCTTCGGCCTTTTTAAAGTTGGAAACGATTCGCAGACGGAGGAAATGTGTCACACCGAAGAAACCCCCGCGTTATCGTGTGCGACGGAATTCGGGCCGGTGAAGAGCTTCAGAGTATTGGTGGGGGAAGACGGACTTCCGATGTCGTCGCGCCGGAAGGGGAGAGGGCAGTTTGTGGATTACCTCTTCTTCCGTGGGGGGGGGGGGCCGGGCCAGAAAGCGTATTGGATCTTGATGTTGCGCAGACGAGGCACGAGAATTGTTTACGAGTGTCAAGGC